TAGTGGGTCATTTTAATTTTAACAGAATTATAATGCATATTGTTCAAACTAAATATTTATAATACAAAGTAATACAACCCGACCTGCTGGTAAAGATAGTTAAAAACCAGCTTATGCTGTTATCTGGTGTTAACTGGTCTAAAATGGTTTAGGATGGTCTTAGATGGTCATGTCCCAACTCCTGCTGCTCTTTAATGGTTTAGTTGGGTGGGTCACCAGTTGGTCATGCTGGTGTGGTCTGTCTGTCAAGCTGGTCCTGCTGATATAACCAGCTAAGCCATTAAACCAGAATGCGAAAATATACCTTGAGCGTGTCAACTGTCATAAGTTGGTCAACCTGCTTAAGCAGGTGGTCAAGCTGGTTGTTTACAGCAGGGGAGGTAATAGGCTAGTATTTGTTATTGAAATGATATTATCCCCCTTAGGTTAACCCCCCCATTTGGCGTGATGGGGACACTCCCTTCCTACTCTGTCCCTCTGCATTGTTCCGCAAAACACATTACCGTAAGAGTGCCCCCCCGTTTCGCAGTCAAGGGGCTCGGACAGACGGCCACAGAAGTAAACATGGCTCCAACTCAAGCAGGTGTCCAGGGCTATAAAATATTTAATTGAAAGTCATACCTCAGTTTTCCCAAGTGGGATGTGTGGTTAGAGTTGCATTAACAGTAATTATGATAATTAATTATAATTCCATCCATCCATGTTCCAAACCGCTTATACTTCTGGGACGCGGGGGGGTCCAGAGCCTATCCCGGAAACTATGGGCACAAGGCAGTTAATTATAATTAATAATTATAATTAATAATATGTTTTTACTCAATTTTCATATTCCAGCCAAAGCAGTTTTGGTGAAAGCAGTTGATGGAGAAAACAAAGCAGATCATCCAAAAATCTGAGCTAAACCTCACCTCTTACATTCTGGTTCTCAGCCTAAACTTTGGAGGAGCCCAGCGACCCTCCTGGGCCTTTATTGCTCCTAAAATAAGGACACTACCAGCCAAAGGTTTATGCAAACACTGAGATTTTCTTCATTTGTATATTACTCACTTACCACTAAAAATACACTCAGCATTCTTTCCTAACAAATACATTTACAGCATGGTCACCATTTGAGTACATTTATTAGCACTTTCATGGCTGTTCTGAGACATGTTCTGTATTAAAATGACACAGAATGTGCTGGTGTATTCTTTAACATGGGTGGGTTCTGCTTTCCTTGCACTTCATATTCTCTGACGGCTGCTGAAAATGACCGATTAGTGGGTGTGGGAGGGGGGCAGAAAGATATATGTAGTTTCCCATAACATACTGTATAGTTGCAGCATATTATTTCCCAATCCCACAAAAAGAGAAAACAGTAAGGCACAGCACACCCAGAAAGCGGGTGAGCAAACATACCAGACTATGTGGAGTGCAGCAGCAAAACATACTCAAATTACACAATATACATGATGACTCAAGCAATGCTTAGTTATAAATATATGTATAAGTGAATGGAGTTTATTGGCTTTGTGGTCAGGACAGTCACCACAAGACGGGAAGTGCGTCACACCCATCCTTGGCCTTGGGCACTCTAAGAGAGCCTGTCATTCATGCCACACTGCCTGCACGTCCTGCCACCCACTGGGCAGGTCGTGTCAAACAGCCAGCACCCCACCCTGCCCAGAACACACCAGTGGTGCCCGCGGACCCCAGCTCACAGCTCTAGGCCATAGGGAGGACTTGGTTCCCATCTTCTCCATTGGGGAGAATGAGCCCTTCGACCAGCTGAGGTCCCTGGTTTGGAGCTGTTCAGTTGAGCAGTGCTTCCCAATCCGGTTCTCAGGGACCCACAGATGCGCCACATTTTGCCCAGAGCTGCAGTAGAACATGCACAGAACCCTGGACTTCAGCTTGCTAATTTTGTAGGCAAAGACATTTGTAATATTAATATTTTGGAGGGCACTTGTAGGTGAAAAATAATGATTTCTCTTTGAACTGATGACTGACTAATAGCAAGCTGGTGAGTTCTCTGAGCACAGAACAAACAGTGTGACCTACCCTCAGCTAAACCCCATTAACATTCTCACCATGTCACCTCTGCTAGCCAGCACAGACACCTGGTGGCTGTCAGAACTTTTCTTGCCTGCTGCCTATACGATTGTGACCTCTACAGTTTCCTGGGCTGCTGCCCACAGCATCGCAGTCCTCAGGATTCAGTGTGGTGCTGCCCCCTAGAGGACAAGCAGGTGTGGTGCATCTAAATACTGTACATTACTTCTCTGTTTCTCCACTTTTCCAAGCCACATTTCTCTCCACCTTGCCTGTGAGATCAATGGGACGGTCGATAGCGGTGGACCAGAACATAAACTGGACAGCGCAGAAGGTGGACGGGACGCATGGGCTTTACCTAGAAGACTAATTAAGCAGTTCAAGGAGCAGAAGATCCAGTATGGCATAGCAGAACATTAATACCTCATCTTAATCTGAATTTTTTATGTAATCGGGTATTTGAGCAATATACAGAGTTGTCTTGATCCAACATTTAGTGGCTAAGTTTGCATGTATCGGAATTTTTGGGATATGTGATGATATATTAAAGACCAAGGGGAAAACAGAGTAGTACGTGACAAGGTTGTTGGCATACATTGTATATAAATGCGTCAGTACCCCATGAGGCCCCTTCCAGCCAGCGCCAGTCGTGTGTCTGGGGTTGGCGTTTGTGTAGGTTGTGCTCACACTAGCTAGCACACTAGTCATCATGCTAGGTGGGACACAAGCAGGAGAGACAGGTAGTGCTTCAACTCGATTTTTTCGGTAGAAGCAGGGAGCCAGAATTAAAATAGAACAGACATTAGTGTCACGTGAGCAAATGTAGGTCATGGCTGCAGCACGACTGTAAATTAGCTGCATGACGAAATATCTGTCATGACAACATCGCTATTTTTCTTTCTTTTTTGCTAGTTATGAGTCTTACAGTGGTATGACTCCAAAGTAAAGAAGGTGCCTAAGATTTTCATGTGCGTATACTGTCAGTACTGAGTTTTCAGCTTAATGTGAATGTTCTGCCGCAAATATTCAAATTCAAATTCAAAGTTTCATTGCGTGCCCTCATAGCAAGAGGAGTCTGAACCGGATCGGGGCCAAATGTTGTTCAGAAATTGCCGCAGATCTGTAACCCAGATCTGGCCCAGTGTCTTTTTGCACAACGGACCAATACTGGTCTGAATCCGCTTTCTGGATTTGAAACAGATAAGGGCCACATATGGGCCAGAGTTACATTGAATGTTACCAAATCTGGCCTGTATGAGCACCAGAGTCAAAGCTAAATTCAGAGCAGCTTCCAGTGGGGGCAGTGAGTGGCTCTGTAGGCTAAACCTCTGTGCCTAAGATCCAAAAGTTGCTGGTTCAAGCCTCAGCAGAAAACACTGCCCATTAGGTGGTCCTGCATTGTAACCTCCAAGCTGTAAACACAGCTACAATGTTTTCACTTACACCTTCCCCATAGTTTAGAAGTCAGACAACATGCAGCTCCCCCAGAGGTGGCACTACCCCCAGAAAGGCCTTGCTTAAGGGCCCACAGAGATGCAGACATTCTACTGGGGCTGGGACTCAAACCAGGGACCTCCTGCTCACAAGCACAGAGACTTAACTCACAGAGCCACTCACCTGCCACATAAGTGAAGGGAGGATTCAGGAGCAGAACTGGTCGGCAGTCAGTCTAGAAAAAATGAGTCAGCCACATTTAACAAAGAAACATGCTTCATTTACACAAGTACATGTACATTGGAATGCTTCTCTTCACTACCATCATCTCATCCTTCACAGCTTGGGGATCACAGTGCAGGGCCACCTAACCTGCAGTATTCTCTGCTGAGGCCAGGGCCTGAACCAGCCCAGAATCACTTGCTATGTGGGTGAGTACTGTCTTCGGGCATCACATGTTCAAAAATTTGCATTTTCCTTCCTTGTACTTTCCAAGTGCAATATACCACCATATCTGTTTGTCGTAATTCATGTGCTGTTATTAAAAATACTTATTTTTGCTAGTGTGGGAGATTTGTATCAATTATCAATAAATGACAGTTGTGCTTTATTCCCTTACATACATAATTTAACTGCTTAAATGGAACTTTTACACTAAATCACCTTTCAATTTGAATAAATTTACCTACATGGTATCTACTCAAGCTGGAAACTGCAACCCATTGAATCACAGAACTAGCTCCAGCAGCACAAAACATGGGACAAATACGCCAGATCCCTAACATCCAGTAAACATGGAGCATAATGTTTAATTGCTCTCCTTGTGTTTTGCACGTTTCCTGTAGATACGTGCAAAACACAGAACTGAAACTATACTTCAGTCAGTATACTGTCAGTACTGTAATTGCATATAAGTTCTTTGTGTGCGTCTCACTTCATTTTTATTGGGTACATTAAAATAATCAAAACCAGCCATTACAATCCCCTGGAGCCAGTTAAATGGGTGGAGACCTAAGCTCCCCATGCTCAACCTAGAGTTATGCTATTCATTGGGTATTCATTTATTTATTTGGGCTGATACAGCCCTTGGCTGTGATCCCTTCTGAATAGAAATGTGGTAAACCTAATATTAAGTCTTCCAGCTATGATATCCAGCTATGTTCTACCTCTATTTACATAGGTATACCTACGTTGATAGATGCGTGCAGTTTGTATTTAGTAGGAGGGATGTATATGCGTGCACTAAGATATACAAAACACATGAACTATTCAGAGTAACCGACAGGAACAGTCTGAACAGAATTCATTCATTCATTCATTCATTCTCTGACGTGTTACTGCTTTCTCTGTTCCCTTCTAACCTTCAAGTCGTGTTTGCAAACAGCGGCGAAGCGCGCCCCCGGCACCAGTGACCTCAGGCCGCAGCTTGGGGCTTGTTCGAGATCCTGTCGCGAACCCCGCCCACTGCACGCGCCATCTCTCACGTCCAATGGTGGTCCGGCGAGCGGCGAGCGGCGTCACTTCCAGTAAGGAGCGAGGCTGTTGTCGCGCGCCTCGCCGGTGGAGGGTTACGATCTGCAGTTCTGACCAGGATTAGAAACACTCGCATTAACCCGGCATTTTATGCGGGCTTCTATAAACAGCCGGCGGCGCATGACAGCGATTTAAAAGCAGGTGAGTGGCAATATTTCCGAGCTGTCGCTGGGGTGGAGTGGATGACATTTGCGGGCGCCGGGCAGCATCCTCGTCTTTGGGCGAAAACGGCCCTCGCCACTTCCCCTAGCCCGTGTTTGCTGTTGCCTGTTCTCTCCGGTCCGCTTTCCTACATGCCACCTCACTGGTCCACATAATGGCTCGCGCACCTGTCTTCCCTACCTTGGTCTTACATGTTAATGCCGGATACCTGCGGACAGTGATCCGGCTGCTTCTCTGTCGATGTCACTGTCTTTTATGGAGGGAGCGCGGCTCCGCTTGGTGGTCCCGTATACCTCAAGCCAGTGTCCCTGCAGGGGTCGCCCGGCTTGTTTTCTCCATGCAGCTGCACATGCGGGTGTCTGTCCAGGAGATGAGCGCACTATGGACCGATGTGCGGATGTTGGCTGGTACTGTGTTGTCTCTATGCGATTATGATCAACATAAACATATGGGGCTTGATAAATATTCTTTAAAGCCGTCTGCTGTACTTATTTACGAAATAAAAAATGAAAATGAGAGAGAGAGAGCGCTGATGGGGGAGATGCTGTCACAGTTCACAATAAGACGGATCATTTCTTACATTAGGTTCGTGTTAATCTCATTCGGAATGCGAGGCTTGTGTGCGTGGCCAGTTTCGATTCTGTTTTGAAATGTACATATTAGGCATCATCAGGGTGAGCACAAACACTGTGCCACCACTCTGATTGCTGCAGCTGCCTCTACACTCATATTCTGACCACGTGGAGGAGGGATCCTGCTTCACTTTGCCCCATTGTTGGCGGAGGTTTTCCAGCTGCATGGATGCTCTTTTAATGTGGATGCGTCAGCGCTGTTTCCTTAAGCAATTCACCTTCTGGTGGGTCATCAAGCTGCCCCCCCCCCCCACACTCCTAATTTTAGCCAATCTCGGATGTCTGGTGCCGGTGGGAGGGTGGTGGGACTGCTGGAGGCAGCCGCCTCGCCAGGATGCTTCCTTAAATGCAGGAATGTGGGAAAACTGCGCAACCCGCTTCAGCATCGCTGGGACAGCTTCTTCCCTGGCACTCGACCCCAGTGCTGCAGAAACATCTTAAAATAGGCCCTGGGACCAGGGGGGAGCCAGGCCAGCACTCCAGCTGCTGCTTATGCTGCTGAGAACAGAGCACTTATTATGGCACTAATGAACAGTAACATGAAGGAACCGGATCAGCTGTTTCAGCGTCAGGCCTGCAGTGCTTGTCTGCGTCTCCCTGACAACCATGGGGGGGATGGGAGGGGGGGGGGGGCAGCTGAAAGAAAGTTTGCATTAGCATCCCAGAGTGCTGCAGTGGAGAGACTGCAGCAGCGGGCATGAGCTGCATCTTGGAAGCCAAGGGTGTCTCGGATTTGCCTTGAGGGAATGCACCCCCCCCCCATTGCCATTAATGGACTGTACCTGCCATTTGAGAAGTGACACCTAGGGTCAGATTCGCCATCGACCTCTACGCTGTTGGCCCTGGGCCAGGCTTGGGTCAGCAGAAACGGCTTCCCCAGGGTGGTGGTATATGCTGGCAGACATAAGCGCTCATTGGTTGAGTATTGAGAAGGTACTGCAGCGAGGTGTTCCTGGTAACCTGCACCTACTGATGCTCCAATGAGGGCCGGCCTGAGTGGTCACATGGTCTGTCAGGCATTAGTGCTGGGGGAGCAACATGTCTCAGTCTGACACATTGTTGGCTTCCGTGCTTCTTCTGCAGGTCAGAGACCTCAACTCTATTGTGGAAGTGTGTGTGAGGGAATCAGTCCCGCCCTTCCCTACAGTGACCACACCGTCAGTCCTGCCCCTTGACATGGAGATGCATATTGCCATCTGCATGGGGGGTTGACGTGTGAGTGGTCCTGACCCTTGTTCCTTATACAGAACAATTAGTCACCTGCGGGTGGCCTTTGGGGGGTGAGGTCACCGTATCTTTAAAAATAATGAATCGCTCTTAAGTCACCCGGTGTGACACTGTCCCTGATGCCTCCAGCCCTCAGGCACCCTGACACCTGGCCATCAGGGAAGATTTGGCACCAGGAGCCCTGTGTGCATTAGGCCGTAGTGTGTCTCTCTCACGGGGCCAGATTATCTGAGCAGATTAATCCTCGTTAACGTGTGCGCTTGGCCCATTTGCCCCACCCTCCTTGGCATCTGCTTACCGAACAGCAGAATTAGTACTTTATTTACTTAACATCAGTATTTGTCTGATTTGCTCATTTTGCCACCTCGCATCCTAAGCAACAGATTAGGATTCTTTGTGGATGTGTGTTCCCCTGTCTGTCTCCACTGCTGTGGCAAAGTTCTGTCTTGCCCTGTGTGCCTGGGATAGGCTCCAGCCCCTTTCGATCCTGACCCTTATGGATGGACCTTCTCTATGTGACATTTCATCAGGGTCTCAATTTAATTGCTGCTGACCTTTGCACCTGAGTGGTGATTTAGGGTGTGGCTCTGCGATGTGCTGGCTGCTGTAAAGGGGGATCTTGTAGTAGTGTGATGTAGCTGTTTGCCTTTGCTTTGTCTCCTTGAGACGGACGCCATGCTTTCGCATTGTCCTGCAGGGCAGTGTGTTGTGGCTTCAGAATGAAGCAGCAGGTTAGGAGGCAGAAGAGCACTTAGCTCTGAAAGGTGGTCATAAATACCTAAAATAAAATCTCATTTCTCTTGTGCAGTGAGCTGGCAGGTTTCTGCAGAGCACTGTCTCATGGGAACACCCCCTCCTCCCCAATGTCCCAGGCAGTGCGGAGCTCAGCTGGTCCAGGCGATGTGCCCGTGCCTGCTGTGGGTTCCAGTTTGAGTAGTCATATCACCTTGGGCAAGACCCTTAGCCCCATCTGTTCTAGTCCTGCTGCATGCTGGCTGCACTGTGCTTTGGCCCCAAAACATGCTTCTCCTGTACATATACATTAATGAGCTGGTTATATTAATATCCATATTGGGCATCCAAGTGCCGTCCTGCCCAGTGCGTTGGGTGGGTGAGGGTCTGGCACGGCATTAGGAGCTGGGCAGATGCCCCAGGGGGCATTGCATCGCATCTCTTTGTGACAGCGTGTATCTGCCTCTCCGCTCTTCCTGTACATTTGGTGTGTTGTTTTGCTCTCCCTTTGTGTGCATTGTGGTCTTCCTGAACAGCTGAATTCACAGCATGCAGTCGCACTCTCCCTCTGACCCTTATAACAAGCTTCTTCTTTCATCTTCCAGGACTGAAGAGTCCTACTTGAAGTGGCCCTTCTGTAAGAAGCTGCCAGCAGGGGGCACCTACACCTGACATCCTACCCCACAAAAGAAATAAAGGAGAAGATACAGTGACCTTAGGACTTGGTTTTTTTCTCCCAGCTCAGCTAAGGGTAACAGAGACGAGGATGAAGCTGAAGGAGGACATAAACCCCCTGCTGCTGCAGGTCTTCCACTCTGTCGTGTGGGTCTACTCCGTCATCACCTTCTTGCCCTGGTACCTGCTGTCAGGCACAGGAGCTAAGCAGGAGCGGGCCCGGCGGGTCCGGGCACTGCCTGTGAGCGGGCATCCGGGCGGTCCGTACCGCACGCCAGGCAGCCTGCAGCGCCTGACCACAGGACTGAACCCCGGCCGCGACACGCTGGACACGGTGTTTGAGCACTCCATGCAGCGCTTCCCCAACCGAGACTTCCTAGGCACCCGGGACATCCTCAGCGAGGAGGACGAGCTGCAGCCTAACGGCAAGGTCTTCAAGAAGGTGAGCACCTTCATAACGGTGATTGTGAAGTAGGGCTGCACGATTCTGGAAAAAAAACGTGAATCGTGTTTTTCTTGCTTAGAATTGAGATCAGGATTCTCTGTAATGTTTTTTTTCCCTCAAATTTAAACATTTATTACATTCATTAAACTGCGAAAGGAAACGCAACAAAACATGATTGTGTCAAATATATGGTAGATCCAGGACCGGCATATCAACTTCTGACAACCGACAGGAAGCTCTCAATTGGCCATTCAGTTAGGGTAACCAGAACAGCCAAATGTGCCAGTGGGGTATTTTTTTAGTACTTCTGTTCTTTGGGGAGGGACCTGAAATGCTTTCTTTGTTGATCGGTTATGCAAATAGCCTGCCTATGAAACGCAATACAACCGCCGTCTTGAAAACAGTTGCAAACTCAGAAAACAAAAATAAATGAGGTAAAAAAAAATTATAACAAAAATACTAATAATAAATGCGTGGACAGATGAAGTGACCCAAGCTTTAGCTGCAACCTGGTCGGAAGAACCAGAGACCAGGATAGCGTAAAAAGAAATGAAGTATTTTGTATAAAATACTTTAAAATCCTTATCTGAAGGTGTGGTACCTTCTGATTGGAAGCATGCCAACATAACGCCCATTTTCAAAAAAGGGGATAGAAGTAATTTGTAAAACTATAGGCCAATCAGTCTAACTTGTATAACTGGTAAAGTTATGGAGACTATAATCAAAGAGAAAATGGTAGATTACCTGGACTCAAATAACATTTTGAGGGATAGCCAGCATGGATTTAGGAGAGGTAGATCCTGTTT